TCCAAGAAAGTGTTAAACACCAAGGCAAAATTCCATCCCTGTGTCCCCATTTAAATGACCACAGGGAATGAATGAATCATCTTCTCTGAAGGGTGAGGGGCAAGGACAACTGAGGGGCCTGCTCCATCTGCGCCTCAGTTTCCCCCCTCCACATGTTCTGGTTGGATCCCTGACAAATACCCTGCCTGAAAAATAATGCAGACCAACTTTTCATCTTTCTGTGTTTCCATGGCAGCAGAGGGAGAGAAATAAATATTACAGTGGGGCAGAGTCGGGCAGGAGTGACAGCTGAGAAGTGGCACAGGCCTGAGCTCCAGCCCATAGCCTTAGTTCCTTTAGGACAGACAGACATTGCTCATGAGAGGAACCCAGGGCCCAGGTAACCTTATACTGAGTCCACTGCTTATGGATCTAAAAAAGGGGGAAGAGAAGGTGACTTAGATCAGATTATCACCCTGGGCCCTCTGGGTTGGGACACGGGTCCTGTCTCTGGGCTCTCACAGGCCCTTGGGCTCCCCTCCATCACTGCATTTACCACCATGATATTCTAGATTGTTCAGTGTTTGTCTCCCCCATCAGGCTGCCATTTGCAGTTGCACAGGATACACACTGCACAACTTTTTAGAGGCAGGGAGNTCACTGCATTTACCACCATGATATTCTAGATTGTTCAGTGTTTGTCTCCCCCATCAGGCTGCCATTTGCAGTTGCACAGGATACACACTGCACAACTTTTTAGAGGCAGGGAGAGGGGGGGAACCATTCCACGTGGTGGTTCACATACCAGGTGGCCCTGTGGCCCCTCTGTACACACTTGATGGGCAGATTAACAAGAGAATGGCCAAGTGAACAAGCAGAGCTGACCTTCCAATGCCAGAAGGGGAACCACATCAGCCACCAGTGGTGCCCTCTCATAGCCTGTACCTATTAAGCTGGTTTCTAAACCAGCCCTGAGAGAATGTGTAAAATCAACTGGGATATTCATGCAGCTGTGTTAATATCCAAAGCCCTTCGACCTACAGACTGCTTATACAGGGCATGCCTTAAACAATCAAGGTGTAATTTATTCACTCACTTATGTAGTACGTTTATTGAGTGTCTACTATGTGCCAGGCAGTGCTCTCAGTCCTGCGGCTACAAAGACAACCAAAATGCCCTCATGGAGCTTAAATTCCAAGGGGAGAGACAGACAATAAACAAACTAGTAGATATATAATTTACTGTCAGGCAGTGATAAGTGCTAAAAAAAAAAATAATAAAGCAGAGTAAGGGGAAAATGAATGATCTTGGGGGAGGAGAGAGAATGTTATAAGATAAATAATGGGGTTTTTTTGTTTGTTTTTGTTTTTTT